GGAGAGGAGAGGAGAGGAGAGGAGAGGAAGGAAGGAAGGAAAGAAGGAAGGAAGGAAGGAAGGAAGGACGGACTGACTGTGGGGTCCCTGGTGCTCTCTGAGCTGGGTGGTTTCCTTGCAGATGTTTCATGACCCAACTAGCTGACATCATCAGTGCTAGATGGGTTTGGGGAGAGGAGGAGGGGGAGGGGGAAGAGAAGGAGGAGGTGGTGAAGGAAGAGGAGGAGGAGGAGGAGAACTGTGGGGTCCTTGGTTTTCTCTGAGCTGGGTGGTTTCCTTGCTGATGTTTCATGACCCAACTAGGGAACATCATCAGTGCTAGAAAGGAGGGGCAGTTTGTAGAAAGGAAAAGGAGTGACGGAGAAAGACAAGAAAAAGAAGGAGGAGGAGGAAGGAGAACTGTGGGGTCCTTGGTGCTCTCTGAGCTTGGTGGTTTCCTTGTGGACGTTTCATGACCCAACTAGGGAACATCATCAGTGCTGGACGGGAGGGGCGGTTTGTGGAGCGGAGGAAGAGGAGGGAGAAGGGAAGAGGAAGGAAGAGGAGGGCTGTGAGGGTCCCTGGTGCTCTCTGAGCTGGGTGGTTTTTCCTTGCAGGCGTTTCATGACCCATCCGGGTAACATCATCAGTGCTAGAAGAGAGTGAGTGGGGTTGTGGAATGGAAGAGGAGGAGGAGGACTGTGGGGTCCTGGGTGTTCTCTGAGCTGGGTAGTTTCCTTGCAGGCGTTTCATGACCCCTCCGGGTACCATCATCAGTGCTGGAAGGGAGAGGGGTTTATAAGGGGGACTGTGAGGTCCATAGTGGTCTCTGAGCTTGCTGTGGTGGCAGGACCCAACTAGGGGACACCACCAGTGCTTAGAAGCCTTCATGCTTGAGAAACGCTGCCTTGGGTGGGTGCGTAGGCTCCCGGCCCGCGCCTCCTGCAGCCCTTTCCCCTCGAGGGAACCTGAACCCAGGGCCTCGTGTCTTCCCTCCTGCACAGGTGACCTGCGTAGAGAAATCCGGGAGTGAGGAGAAGATGTTGATCAAGATCTTCCGGTGCCTGGGAAGCTGGTTCAACCTGGGCGTTTTGGACAGCACCTTCATGGCCAACAGCAAGTTGCTCTCCCTGCTTTTTGAGGTTCTGGTGCGTGTCCCCGGGGTCCCCCCACACCCCCCCCACTTCACAAGCCTTGGAGGGGCAGCTGGGCGCTCAAGTGCTGAGAAGGAAGACGCCCGTGCAGGTGTCGGAACCGTTGGGGGTGGGAGCAAAGCCCTGGTAGGAGCAGAACATCTCCTCCTTTATGTCAGCATACGGTTAGGAAGAAGATCGAGACGCCATTTTACATAACCCAACCCTGATAAACGGGGGCCTAAGGACAGGTAATTCTCCGCTGAACGGCTGCTCGGAATTGTGACCGACCTCCCTTCGGGCTAGTCAACCCCCCACTCACCCCCGGATTCAAAGTTCGGACGGTTCCCCTTCCTTCTGGATCACGTGAACGAACTTCAGAACCCCCCCGGGCCACGTTTACGGGCCGTTCGAACATGCGCTAGGGGTTCTAAAGGCCCCGTTTTCACGAGACTAGATTTACCGGCAAAGCCTCACGCTGCATTGCTTAACGGCTGTCGTTAAATTGGTCATAAAGTGAGGTCAGTCACCCGATCCTTTTTACAGAAGGGCGGTGATGAGGCATGCGCCATTACGGTCGTAAGATGAGGACCATTGACAAGCACATTCCTTTTTCGAACTTTGTATGTGTTCTGGCCAAGGCTGTTCCGACCCTGTTAATTACGCCCATGCTTATTTTAAAAACAAGTCTTGTTTTATTGCAAACGCTGGGAATTACGTTCATTCCCAGCCGGTAATGAGTCCCAAACAATCCCTCGAGATAAGCACCCACCTTTCTCTCCTTTGAATTGCTGCCAACAACTAAAGTGCCAAATGAACTGAAAAAAAAAAAAAAAAACCAACCGAAGTACAAAGTCCACACAGAGCTTCAAGGTTTAATCCGAACAGAATGAACGACTTTGCTTCCTGCAAAGGTTTCTTCACCTTGGCCTGTCCTTTATCCCTTAGGGGAGGGGCAATCACCTCCCAGCCTTACTCCCGAGTCGCCCCTGTTGTCTCAGCTGCTCTCACCTTCTGGCAGCTCTGTGCACACGCACACTGGGACCGGGCTCCCCTGGGTCCTCTTCCTCACTGCTGCCAGACTCCAAAGGCTCCAGAGGCAGCACCCCACTCCCAGATGGTCCTGGCCCCATCTCTGCATCGGATGCAGGACCCTCGTCCGAGTCCTCTCCCGACTCCCGGACTGGTCCCCGTTCTTCCCCACTGTCCGATTCCGCTGCACCGGCTGTACCGGCGAACCTCCACAGTGTGATCCAATTCCGTTTTTCTTCTTCTGGCAGTTGTAGGTCCCTCTCAACTTACGACCACAATTAAGCCCAAAAATGTATGTCAGTGAGCGAGAAAGGCGTACAGCGAGTTTTGCCCCATTTTTTTTTTGACGCCTTTTCCTCGCTGCATTCATCACGCAAATCGCTGCGGTGGTTAAATGAGTCGGATGGTTGTGAAGTCAATCTGGTTTCCTCGTTGCTCGTCAGACAGCCGCGGAAGGGGATCGCGTGGACCCCAGGAGGCTGCCCCCGTCGTAAATGCGAGTCAGTTGTCGGGCGTCCGAATGTAAACCACGCGACCGTGGTTCGTGTGAAAAATGGCTCCTGAGTCAGGTTGTTCCAGTGACTTCGAACGGTCACTAAATGTTGTAAGTCGAGGACTACCTGTACAGCGGCTAATGAAACTTTGGTGGAAATCTAGCCTGCTTGGTTATGAGGGGTATAGGCAGTGCTCGACTTAACGACCGTTCGATAGGATGACAGATCTACACCAACATTCCCCATTATGTCAAGAGACAGGTAGAAGATCAAAGGACTCCCATCTTTAACGCAACCCCGATAAAAGCGGGGTAAAACTCCTCGACTTACGACTGACGTACCACGCTGCTAGTTAGGACCTGAATTCAAAATTCTGACACTCCTTTCCCCCCCCCCCACGTGGTCAGGTGTCCACGCGATTAGATACAGGTGTGTGTGAGACCCTCCCTCCCCCATCCCATGTGGCAGGGAAGTGTGAATGACCACAGTTGATCAGGTAATACTCCGGCGTGGGAGAAACGGGGGCTGAACGTTAACGGGGATCCACGCGGGAGGATTAAGCAAGATCTCTGGGTGGCCTCCTTTCGCAGCAACAGGACAAGACGTCGTCCAACCTGCACGAAGCGGCCTCGGACTGCATCTGCTCCGCCCTCTACGCCATCGAGAACGTGGAGACCAACCTGCCCCTAGCCCTGCAGCTCTTCCAGGGGGTCCTGACGCTGGAGACGGCCTACCACATGGCGGTAGCCCGCGAGGATTTGGACAAGTGAGGAATTGGAGCACCCTTCCCCCCCGGGTCCCCGTTGCTGGGGAGGGGTTTGTGAGCCAGGAGCTCAGCCGGGGGGGGGGGGGGGGGGAGGCGTGGGGGTGTGTTGAACTTCCAATCTCAGTTGTAGAAAGAGAGGAAGAATTTGGTTCTGGGTTCAAGGAGAGGTTCCCAAGGGGGACAGCAGGTTAGAAACCAGGAGACGGGGAGCTCTAGTTCCGCCGTAGGCAGGAAAGTTGACTGGGTGACTGTGGGCCAATCACGAGGAGACGGGGAGTTCTAGTCCCGCCTTAGGCATGAAAGCCAACCGGGTGATTTTGGGCCAATCACGAGGAGATGGGGAGTTCTAGTCCCGCCTTAGGCATGAAAGCCAACTGGGTGATTTTGGGCCAATCACGAGGAGACGGGGAGTTCTAGTCCCGCCTTAGGCATGAAAGCCAACCGGGTGATTTTGGGCCAATCACGAGGAGATGGGGAGTTCTAGTCCCGCCTTAGGCATGAAAGCCACCTGGGTGATTTTGGGCCAATCACGAGGAGATGGGGAGTTCTAGTCCCGCCTTAGGCATGAAAGCCACCTGGGTGATTTTGGGCCAATCACGAGGAGACAGGGAGTTCTAGTCCTGCCTTAGACATGAAAGCCATCCGGGTGACTTTGGGCCAATCACGAGGAGATGGGGAGTTCTAGTCCCACCTTAGGCATGAAAGCCATCTGGGTGACTGTGGGCCAATCATCAATTGCTAAATGAGACAGTTGTTAAGTGAGTTTTGCCCCAGTTTATGACCTTTCTTGCCATTAATCATTAAATGAATCAATGCAGTTCAGTTAGCCCCATGATTGTTAAGTGAATCCTGGCTTCCCCATTGATTTGGCTTGTCAGAAGGTCGCTGTGATGACCCAAAGGGGCGTGGCATGAAGACAACACAGGCAGATGATCAGTAGGAGTCTCTATTCGCTCCAACTTTGCCCCCAATATCCTGGTTACCTTCTGGGCTGGAGAAAAACTCTCCCAGGAACAGCCTTGGGCTGCAGGGAATCGAGTCCAGAACATTGTCAACAAAAAACTGTAACTAGAAGTCCAATCAAGGCTAAATGAGGTAATTAGTCCGGCAGGGCAGGAGAAGGAATTCCAGACGTGAAGGCACGGCAGTAATTTAACCCAGTTAGGAGGATGCCAGGATAAGCAAAGTCAACACAAGATAAACTCACAGTTGGTCCCAGCACCTGCCGCACTCAGCTTGCATCTCTTTTAAACTCTCGCTCCCAGGTGTGATTACTGAAGGGAATCAGGGCCCTTTCCTCCCCCATAAGCCACGCAACCCACGTTGCTCCCTTCTCCGTTCCTCCCTGCGTGCCCTAGGATGAAGAGGGGGTGGGCCTGGGTCTTCCTCTGAGCTCCCTCTCCCTTGTTCTCCCTCTTCCCTGCTCTGCCCAGCCGCTTCCCTGTCAGCTGTTCGTCTTCCTCCTCAGATTCAGACTCTGACAAGGGCATGACAGTGGCCAAAGGGGATTGCTTATTTGTTCCAAGAATATGCATTCTCTCGTTGGCCCGCCTGCCCAGATTTCTGTCCCTCCTGAGATCGTCTTGCCGGCTCACGATCACCTTGCTTTTGTTGTCCTCGTGGTTGTTTCTTTTGTGTAGGGTCCTTAATTACTGTCGGATCTTCACCGAGCTCTGCGAGACCTTCCTGGACAAAATCGTTTGCACCCCAGGCCAAGGTTTGGGGGACCTGCGGACTATAGAGCTGCTCTTGATCTGTGCGGGACACCCGCAATACGAGGTAGGAATCCCCAACCTCAGCCTTCGCTTCCTTGGTGGAACTCACGACCGTCTCAAACATTTGGGGGGGGCTCAAACAGCCTTTTGAGGGTGGTGTGGGGTGGGGGCAGAGGCTACTGCCTTGTGCCGGAAGTGGGGAAAAAGTTAAAAGGACCCCTCCCTCACTGGGCCCTGTCCAACAAAATGAAATTTAATCTAGAGAAAAATAAAGTCTTACACTTTGGCAAGAAAAAACAACAGAGATTAGATTAAGCAAGATGACTGTGCTAGGTGAGAATTAAATATAAAGGTGGTTTATAATTATGAGTATGCCAATTTAATTAAAAGATTACAACTAATAGTAGGTAACGATAGAATTCTTTATTGGCCAAGTGTGATTAGACACAAGGAATTTGTCTTGGTGCAAATGCTCTCAGTGTATATAAAAGCTACAAGTGATTAACAGAGTAGAATAGAATAGAATAGAATAAGAATAAGAATAGAATAGAATAGAATAGAATAGAATAGAATAGAATAGAGCAAAATAAGGAATAGAATAAAATAGAGAATAGAATAGAAATAAGAATAGAATAGAATAGGAATAAGAGTAGAATAGAATATGGAATGGAGAACAGAATAGAATAGAATTCTTTTATTGGCCAAGTGTGTTTAGACACACAAGGAATTTGTCTTGGTGCAAATGCTCTCAGTGTACATAAAAGAAAAGAGACATTCATCAAGAGTCAAGAATCATCAGGTACAACAATAAATAATAGTCATAGGGTACGGGAATAGAATAGAATAGGAATAGAATAGAAAAATAGAAGAATAGAATTTAGAATAGAATAGAATAGAATAGAATAGAATAGAATAGAATAGAATAGAATAGAATTCTTTATTGGCCAAGTGTGGTTGGACACACAAGGAATTTGTCTTGGTGCAAAAGCTCTCAGTGGACATAAAAGAAAAGATACGTTCGTCAAGGATCATCAGGGACAACACTTAATAATAGTCAGAGGGTACAATAGGAATAGAATAGAATAGAATTCTTGATTGGCCAAGTGTGATTAGACAAGGAATTTGTCTCCAGATGCATAATCTCTCATTTGTCAGAGTCAAGAATCACCAGGTGCAACACTTAATGATAGTCATAGGGTACAATCAGCAATCAAATCATACTAGGAAACAGTCAATAAAAATCGTGAGGATACAAACAACAAAGTTACAGTCCTACAGTCACAAGTGGGAGGGGATGGGTGATAAGGAGGGATGAGAAGATGAATAGTAATAGTAGTGCAGGCTTTCTAAATAGTTGGACAGTGTTGAGGGAATTATTTGTTTAGCAGAGTGATGGTGTTCGGGAGAAAACTAAATAAGCTAATATAAAGAGAAAACATTATTACTATTGTTACTAGTATATGTATTATCGCTCCTGTTTGTTCTTTCTTTGTTATTTACGTAAAGGATATGCCCTGATAATACACTCTATTCAAAATGTTTATGAATTAAAAAACATATTAAAAAGAAAGAAAGAAAAACTAAAAGTGCACATATAGACTGGGTGAAACCAGGCTCAATAGCAGTCAATGGGAGAGAGTAGGTTGTGGGGGTGTTGGACTAGATGACCTACGAAGTCCCTTCCAACTGCTTATTCTACTCTACTCTACTCTACTCTACTCTACTCTACTCTACTCTACATTCCATATTCTATTCTACTAT